ATCATTAGAATTGATTTCGTTTTCCCAGATCTAACTCTCTGTTAGCATCATTAGCTATTTTTATTGCCTCCAATAGAATGATTAATGTGGCGTCTCTCCCAGGTTTAATGTCCAGACATCCACAGATTAGGTTTGAATGTGAGATGGCTAGGAAACAAATTATATACTGTGCAGTGACTGGAGTTATCTTAAAAATAAAATACAACACATCTGTAATTTTGGGCATAAAGAAAAAAGTAAATAGTGATGTCTGGAAGGGTTAGGGAAATTGGTCCAATTGAGATACAATTAGTAGAGAGAACATGTTGGATGAAAGTACATATTGTGGCAAAGACAAAGGTCATTTAGCAAAAAGATGATACCAAAAACAAACTTCAGTCAAAACAATGCCTGAGATAACCCCACCCAATTGAAATTACAAGGCTAGCCATTCATATATTGCTACACAATTTGGATTATCTAATAAAAGAATAGAATTTTAAAAAAAAGGCCTGATCTTAAGCCTTGTGTTCACTCTGCAGTCTTACTCAGCACAGGAGTGTCTGGAACACAGGACTTTTATCAAACTCTGTTTAAACACTTGCTACATGATTATGGCTAATAATATGGCAAAATACTACAACATGGTAAAAAGGCAAGAGCCCAGAAACTGTGTCCCTGGATCCTTAACAAGCAAATACAATCAGACCTGATTTTGTAAGCAGAGTCAAGAAAGAATGCAGGCTTAAAATATTTCAACATTGCCTTCTCTTTTCAGACCTGCAAACAACAGCCATCTTTTACATACAGTCTCTGCTCCTCAGATGCCTTTACAGTGGTATTTATGAGAATGTCGAAACACAACATGACACAATTATAGGCAGTGTAGATTTAATTGAACCCTTGATTTAGCTATTAAATCAACTTAGTCCTTAATGAAACCCCAAATAAACCAGACATGAAAAATGTAAAAGGTCCTCAATAATAAATGTTCAAGTGTCTGAAATATTTTTTGACATCAACTCAAATGAACAGAGTCCAACAAGTAACAAGCAAGACAAAAACAATTAAAAAAACAAAACAAAAAAAGGGGGTGGGTAAATCTAAGCAGTTTGTGAATGATGTAAAAATGAAGGGCAACTCGAACTGATAGTACAGGAGGCGAGGATTGGCAGGCCCTCGTTGAGGTTGTCCCAGGTAGTTGCCCCCCACCAGCAAAGCACTTCATTTCCACCTCCTGGAGCCTACTTGACCAGAGGCCTGGTTTTGTCGTCGTCGCCACACTGGTGGGCTTTGTACTTTTTCACCTCAGCCATGTACTTAGACCAAGCATCGCTCTTGCCTGGCTCAGCCTGCAGGGGAGGAGGCAGAGGTTATCACCTGTGGGAACAACACAATCAATATTGCCACCTTCCATCCCACTTACTTCTGTGTCTTGTTTCTGCTTCTTCGCAACAATGCCGGTCTTTAGGAACACACCGCCTCGGCGCTTCCCCACCTGGGTTAGGGGATAGAAGACTGAAACCGTTATACGAGCTCTTGCACGTGGACTGCCAATGAAGGAGACTACACCAGAGCAGAAGGTCTACACTTAGTCTCGCGCCACCAGCGAAACCATCAGTGAGGATCATCCCTACACTTTACTAAGCTATTGTTTGTTTTACACCATCACTGTGGGTGATTTTACTGAAATATCTCAGGGATAATACAATCACCGGCATATGTATGAAACACTCATAAAAATGACATGTCAGCCATCAGAGTACTAACTATGGTGCCAGTAAGCCTGCTGTATCAGTGCATAGTGCTTCACTTTGGCTGTGAGTGGAACTACTGCTCTCTCATCTTACAACTGCTAAACCCCTTACAAAGCTCGTCACGGGTGGGGCCTTCTTTTCCACTGGTGTCTGTCCTTGCTCGGTGGCTCTGGCATCTCCACCTGTTTGCTGCATCTCCTTTTTCCTCCTCTCATCTTCCATCTTCTTCTTGAACAGCTCCATGAAGCTGCCGTCGTTAGCGAACACGTTGCCCCCAGGCATCAGGGGTTTGCTCGATGGCTGTGCGGGGCTGCTCGAGGGGGACGCGGGGCTCCCGCAGCTGGAGTCCTCGCTGCTGCCGCCACCGCCGCCGCTCGTTTGAGGTTTGTCGTGTGCGCGTTTTGGATCCATAGTTCCTGGGCAAGCAGACACAGTCTGTTGTGTGTTAGCTGTGTAACACGTATGGCTTTGTTGTGTGGTTGGCCTTAGCGGAGAGCACTGCCAGCACGCCTCAACCGCAGTGCAATACGAAAACCTAAAGTCTAATTAAAAATAGATCAGCTGCACAGTCCAGTGTGGGGATATGGTCTTTGAAAAATAAGGCGAAGTGTAAAAAAAAAAAAGCCAAAAGGCTTTAAAAATGTCAGCCCTCTAGCACACAATCCCCGGGCCCCGACAAAAACAAAAGCAGGCGCTGGTTTAGCTGCTAACGCGGCTAACAGCTAATGCCCGGTTCGGTAAGGCCACTGCAGACGACCAAACTCAACTACGGCCTCCCAGTTCATGTGCGGAACCTATTAAGGTATAAGCATACAGCTGCGGCTCACCTAAAGGTTCAAACACCTGCGACAAAGACAAGGAGGGTCAAAATTTGTTCTCGCAGTTATCGCCAACTTTCACAAACCGTCACCTTTGCTCCGCCATGTTTCATTTTCTCTGGTGACATCACGTGGCAGCTGTGTAGCGCCTCCTGCTGTGCCGGAAGTGAAATTGATACTAAAAATTACATAACAGACGGTCGTTGGCTGGAAACTGCTGGCTCTCAGGTCTGCTTCTGTTGACACGGTACAATTTAATACACCCAGTTTACACAGCCGAACATGAACTCTGTCCTTCACTCTGACAGTGACGTAAACGATACTCTGTGCTATATCGCTTAAAATAAAACCTCACTGTATTCATTGTTTTTAGATATTGATTAGGATTGTCAGGAGCACTGTCATTAATCCATTCAATTTACACTTGTATTAAAAGGTCAAGCTGATCAGTTCACATTATGCAAGCTTATTTCATACTTCAGTCCTGTGCAAAAGTCTTGAGCCACACCTTATTTGTTTTTGTGTTGATTCCAAGAAGGAAACGGGGGCCTGCGCAGGGTGAACTCTTCCTATGGTAGCTGGGATAGGCTCCAGCACTCCCCTGCCGCAACCCTGATAAGGATAAGTGGAAGAAAATGGATGGAGGGTGGAAGCTGGACATATGGTGGACAAAAGACAACGTGGCAGGCTTTAATCAATAAATAAATAAATAACCATAAAATAGTGGAAACCCAACACAGGATCTGAGTTCACTGAAGCCTCAAGAAAAATGGTCTCAGTGGGTGGCTATCTTACCTTAGAGTTGAGGGTGTGTTAAAGAATAAAGGTGGTCATACAAACTGACTTCAAGTTTGTTTGAATTGTAGAAACTGTTTTTAATCCTTAATGTTTAATCTGCTGCATCTCCCATTTTCCCAGAAAAATATACAGAAATCAGGAGTGGTTTATGGTTGTTACATAGTACAGACTTAACAAATCTTAGGTGAATCTTACAGCCCCCCCCCCAAACATGCCATTCTATTACATTGTGCTGTTGTTCATCATGTTTGAATGTGCCACCTCTCTTTAATCCGTTGAGATGTGCTTGTGGAAAAGTGGTGCGACGGATAAACAATGCCTTCACCGTTTTGACAGTTGCACAAAGGATGTGAGAAGTTTGACTAATCGGTTTGGCCTTTAGGACTGTGACGGAATGAAAGTCTACCCACAACAAGGGCCCACTTTGATAAAACCTGGGTTGGCGTGCTTTCTCAGACCTCTCTGGGTGAGTCTAAATCGGAAGGGACTGAAAGTGAGTCTTTGAATGCACTGAAAAGAAGAACACAAAATGCCATCTTTAACTTAAGATCCCATTTATTTGTAGTGCAAAAAGTAGAACAGAGAGGACTACAAATAATTTAACCCTGTGCCAAGTACATTATGCTATAATCTAGTAGACCATTTCATGATGCAACCTTTCACACCATGCATATGTGGACCAATAATTTTATGCCATAAAAACCAACTTAAAAAAAAAAAAAAATCAAAAAAAAAATCAGTAGAACAAAAAAGTAAAAAGTGTTTACACAACAGCAGGACTCTGGTCTTTGTAGATCATAGCACAAACTGTTAGAGGCAAGTACAAGTCACAGGACAGCAGCTCTGACATGGGACGCACAAAAACAACTTGATCAACGGTTGTAAAGAAAGGCAGACGTAGAGTCTGATAAATGTGCCTCAGGCTTTTTAATCTGCTGTCGATTTCCTGTCACAGGAAAAATTCCAGCGCATTGAAGAACACGTTTCCTTCCAGCTCAGCTCAGCCGTGAACAACACCTAGCAGCGGCAAACAGCACATCAGCTGACTCAGTTTTATATATTTTTTAGTGTTTCTATGATTAGAGACTCTCGCATAGTGTTATCCAGTTTTTGTGTTTAAAGTGGAGAGTGCAGTTGGGTCCGACCCACAATCAGACCCCCTGATGGGGGAGGTCTTATGGATAGGAATAATAAAAAAAATAAAAATAAATTTTTTTTTTTGAGGCAACAGCGAAAAGAAAAATACACAAAAGTCATATCACCAGACTTGAGCACGTACCTGCAGTGTGACAGAAACAGTGTTGGCGCTGCAAACATGTCATTGTTCAGTCTCATCTATAAAGGGCTAGCATGGGAGACTTTTGCGAGGCACTGAACAAACCCACCCTTCTAGAGAGAAAGTGCTTTGGTGTACACTGTGAAAATATTTACAAAAGACATGTTTCAGATTTAAGGCTGAGAAGGAAAAAAAAAAAAAAAAAGCATTTAAAGAGAATACAGAAGAAATCGAGACTAAAGCTGTTACACACCCGCTTGATTTTTACATTTTTTCCAAAGGTGCTTCAAACTTAGACTAAAAATAAAAACGCTACAAGAAAAAAAAAAAAAAAAAAAAAAACCTCAGCAAACACATAAATCCCAAGAGGATCTGCTGTAGTGGAGGTATGAGGACCGCTTGTGCAGCTTTTGTTCTGTAGCACTTGGAGTAGTCAAACTTCTCTGTCATCTATCACATTTAAACTGGCACCTGACAAAACTTGTTCCAGTTCTGTTTCACTGTTTAACATAAAAAAATAAATAAAAAAGGATTTTAAATAGATGTTCAAGGAAAAAAAAAAGTCCAAGAAGCCACAGGGGAAATAAAAGTCACCTTAAAAGGTGAGGTCGCCTCTTCTTAAGGCCTATAACTCCTACTTTTTATCAGAGCAGAGAGCTTCTGCTCTGGAGCCCAACGGAGAAAAGAAATCTTCTCATATCAGTAAGAGCCAGCAGGGGGCAGCAGCAGCGTGACAAAACTGAGGCACAGTGATCCCAGTGAAGGCATAAAAAAGGCAAAAGACACTCAGAGATCACATGGATCACCTTGTGTGCACTTTGCTTTTCATTTGAGGGTAACTGTCACGCCTCCGTGTCTCATCTCGGGTGGTGTCGTGTCAGGCCTCTCCTTGCGTTGGTGAGTTGTCTCTGCTGGGCGAGGAAGGACATGGCCTGGTTGGAGGAGCCCAGCCGCTCACCAGACACTTTCTGATGCAGCCCCATTCCCTGACAGGTAAAGAGGGCGGAGGAAAGAGAAAGATGGAGTGAGGGATTGGGTGGTGTGGATGTAGTTCCTGTTTGAGCTTTTGTGTATTTACACGCTCGCTCACCATGTTGTACCAGGCACTGATGATGAGTTTCTCCTCCTGGTCATGCCTGGCCCTGGTCTTCTCATAATCATGCTGTATAAAAGGAACACCATCATCATGCATTAGTGGGATTTACAGTGCTGATGGAAGCACACTTGTCTCTCAGAGTCAGGAGGTTCATACCTCCAGATGCTGGATTCTTCTCTCCTTCTCCATCAGCTGGTTTTTCATGGCCTGACTATCAGGAGCCACTGGCTGCTGCTTAGGATCCAGGGTTTTGATCACCTGCACACAAAAGGATATTCATTTAAAGAGCTTAGAACATCATTTTTTCTGATATTTAAAAAGGTCGAAGTCTTTAAAAAAAAATGTGTGAAATAAAAAGTGCAGTACTCCTATAACCACTGACCGTTCTCGCCTTCTCCACGTAGCGCTTGTATCGCTGCTCCATCTGCTTCATGTCCTCGTCCTTCTTCCGCAGGATCTCCTGGAGTTCATCAATCTTCTTAGCCACTAGAAGGAAAAACAAATTTGTGTTTAGGAAAGGAACAAAGCTGAACTTCTTCTGAATACCATCTACATGACATTTCTTACTGTTGCTGTCTACTTTGGGCTCCAGGTCATCAATGACCTCTTTTTTCTTTTGCAGGTCTGACTGGGCCTCCTGGAGCTTCTCCCTGGAACAGTACACACATCGACACTTGTGTGAGTTCA